TGAGCGAAGAGTCTAATGTGGTGACTGGTTTGTAGGCAAATGTAGCAGTAAATTTGCGCCCAGCAAATAGTCACACGATGAATGACCAATTCAGCTAGGTCAAGACACGGGGAAGAAATTCCCTTCTCTGTTCAAATATGGACATGGGTTCTTCAACATCCACCTGGACAAGCAGATGGGACCTCAACTTAACCTCTTGTCTGAAAGAGGACGCCTCCTGCAATGCCTCACTCAAAGTTCTGACTTGGTGCTTGAACCCACAACCGTCTGACTCAGGGGGAAGTCACTACTGACTGAACCAGGCTGGAAACTACTCCTGAAGCAGCTGTTGAACTAACTCCATTCAAACGGTGCTGGATAGTGGCTAGAACTAAATAAGACATGTTTAAGTGACAAAACTGCCTTCAGTTCCAATGAAAACAATCCAGACTGAATGGACTCTCCCACAGCATTCACTCTGCTCTGAGTCAACTCATGAACTTCCTGCCAGAACTCAATAGTCAGCCTTGTGCATGTGCTGAGCATTCCTAGAGCACCTCGAGGTCAGGAGGTTCTCATTAAGCCCCTCTCGCAGCCTGCATCTCGCGATTCCCAGCCGACCTCAACTCCATTGTCTGGTCATGAGAATTTTTTTTTACTCTCAACTAAGGTCAGGGTATACAGCAGGCGTGTTTATACTGGAAACCTTACAGGAAATTTGTAGCAAATGTAGATTGTAGATTGAAGGTTGAAATGCGAAAGAGGAATTGCAGGGAACAAGCTGCTACAATGAAGTCCACATCGGTCGACTACAATAAGGCTAAACGCTGTGTCAACATCTCTCCGGATAAAGCAGCAAATCAAGTCAGTGCCAAACTGAGCCATAAAATTCAGGATAGTCACAGACTGAACCCTCAGTCTTCGCTGAGTTATTTGATATCAGCCTGGAAGGCTCTCACTAGAGAGGCTCCGTTTGAAGTTCCTGGGACGTAAAATAAGCAGCAATTCATGGTTCTGATTATTATCTAGCGATGCCCACACTCTTCCCCATGGCTGTCATCCGAGCATGGACATTTGCTGAGGATAGGATTGGTTATAAGTGTGATTCTCCATGGATGCCGGCTCACACTCACACTCAGTGTTTGGGTCTGAGGTTTAGGTTTGATGGGATGCTGTTCTGGCTAGAGTGCCTGATGTTGCTACAAAATCTGAAAATGACTGCAGGGGCCATTTGATAGACAAATCACAAAGCAGGATAAGGGCATTAACTTTACTCCCATCGATTGGCCATTGTTCAGCTGAATGCCTCATCGTTTATAATGTGCTATTGGGCTGGCTCACAGCTATAGCATTTCAGTGAAGGCCTCTCATTCCAATGGTTCTCTCTCAGTGGGAGGAAGGAGGGCGTGCAGTGCTGCATTGTCAGAGGTATCACCCTTTGGAGGAGACTTTAAACTTAGGTCCTGTCAGTTGGTCCAGGTAGACATTAAAGAATGCACAAGACAATTCAAAGAGGGAAGGGAGATTCTCCCAATGGCCTGGCCCACAAACCTCAAATTGAAATGGACAATCACTTCCCAGCTGTTTGTAAAAAATTACTGTGCACAAAATGGCTGTCACATTGACCTACAAATGCAATCATTATACTTAATAGCAATTACTCTAAAGTAATTTGAGAAGTTTTGATTTTATAGAGACTTTATTAAATGCAAGGATCATTATACCTAAGCTCCCCAGCTATTTCCCAGTTAGACCTCCCGTGTTTGTAATTTTCCAGCTTCCAACACTGAAAGTTACATTTGTAACATTCAGGACGTTACAGTACAGCCTTTGTGCACATATCTTGATGCACACTACAGGCAGCTTTAAGCAGAGTCGCCATATAATCAGTTTACTAACACCGCAGTAACATCTGCAAGACACCATCACTGGGGCAACAGTCTCAGCTGTTTCAGGTTGTTCTAACAGTTACGCTGCTGCTTCAAACAGCTGGTGACTTGACACCGAGCCGGGCCTTAAGAGAATCATTCGGTGAATGGAGCTTTGATTATCTTGTGAGTTACCTATGGAGCTACTCATCATTATAGCCATGTGTTTTGGTTTGAATCTTAGATGGAGGCAGAGGCTAGGTGGAGGCAGTTTTTGCCATTGCATTCTGTCCCCAGAACACGGGTAGGATAATTTATGATTCTCCCTCAAAAAGTTGGCTGGCAATGTGACAGCCATGGAATGAGGAGTTCTGATTTGACTATTGAGAGGCAAAGCCAATAAAGTGTCTTTTGTGGAGTCCTGTAGCTCAGTGGTTAGAGCACTCGCTTTGCAAGTGAGAGACCTGAGTTCAATTCCAGGCAGGGCGAAACCTTGGGCAAGTTTCCTTACTCCACACGTCTAATAATAATCCCTCCAAAACTAAAAACAATAATTAAATTGGCCATTTTCAATCTACGACTGCTTGTGGGACATTGCTGTGCGCAATTGGCTGCCGCGTTCGCCCACAAATATACAGTCAATTCACTTTACAGTGTGTTCTGTGAAGCGCTTTGGGACGTCCTCCCGACGTGAAAAGCGCTATATCAAATGCAAGGATTATTATTATTATTATTTTGAACTTTCAGTGTTTACCGAGCAAGCAGTAATTTTCCCTTAAACGGGACCAATCGATGAACTGTAGTTATAACTCAATTCACTTTCTCCCCCCATGATTTTAATATCAGGCATAAAAAAATAACATGTTATATAAGATTTATTCATCTTTCTTTCGCCAAATTCCTTCCCGCATTGTGTCCAAGTTGTGTCAGTAACGTTTTCAACTGAAGCTCTGCAAGACTTTCCGCTACTGGCGTGGCACCAAGTCACACATGTTCCCCAGGTCAGTCAGTGCTGCTCATCAGTCTCAGCACAGTGCTGTCAACACTAGTTTGTTCTGTTCTTCCAAGGTGGAACACTTTGATTCAACAAAGCATTCCAACCAGCTGCCCAGCTGAGAACAAACTTAACTCAACACAACTGTGGCCAATGTTTGTGAGTATCAAGATAGTCCTACGACTCAATCCCTTAGCCATCTGGTTAGCAGTCAAGTGATCGATTTGTTGCGTAACCGAGCACCTCTGTACACTCTGCTAGCCGGGGAGGACAGTGTAGAGATGGAGGTGTTTTGTGAAAAGAGGCTGAGCTAAACTGAGGCAGCGTTCCAAACAACGAGACCATTGATGTCACCTACTCCTGGAGAAACCGATTGTGCATATTACAATGGAAGAACAGATGCAAAGATCGAATCCGATGTTTTGCATAGCTGTGCCTTCTCCTTCCCTCCCTCCCTCCCTCACTCGCTTCTTCCATCTCTGAGACATGTTGTTAAGAGTTTGTACTGCTTTCACCGGACCACAGCAACAGCTGCCTGGCCCTGAGGCGAGACAGATGCTGCAGACTGACCCTCTCAGCAGCTTTGTCACATGTCATAAACGCCATTGAATACAAAATGGTATAAAATAAACATGCTAATTTCCTCAAGAAACAATCCTTAATCCACATGAGTTTTGCCTAAATCTGGCCCCCAACATATACACATGCATACAGTTTCTCTACCGTCCTTGTGTAATTTAACAACTCAATATTTTTGCTTTTTTTCCCCAAAAATAATAATAATTATTTGGTCACTCAATCCTCGACTGTTTGTGGGACACCGCTGTGTGCAATTGGCTGCTGTGTTTTACCCACAAAATATATAGAGTCAATTCACTTTACAGTTTATTCTGTGAAGCGCTTTGAGACGTCTTGAAGACGTGATAAAGCGGTGTATCAAACGCAAGGATTATTATTATTTACATTATTTTCTTCCTATCATCTTTTCCTCGCAAAATCATCTTTAAGTTAATTATCTTTAAGTTTCTTCTTAAAATCTATTGTCTGCAGAACACTTTATTCCGACTTTCTGATCGAACGTTAAGACATTGAAGAAAGTCGTTCAGAGAAAAATAACTAAGGGCGTTCCATCACTTCTTGGGGTAAATTAAATAAATTTCAGTCGGGTCAGCTGAGGTAATGTAACGTGACTCTCCAGGAAGCAGGGAAGCAGCAGTTAGCCATCTGAAAATCTGCACACGTTTGTGGGGCGCACATGCTGTGCAGTGCTTCACAATCTGAGCGCTTGTGAATGGTTCCTTTGTGAGGCTGGTTCCAGCTAATTTATGAAAGGGGTGTGGGGGGGGGTGGGGGGGGGCGGCGGGGAGGGGAATGGACTGGGGAAGAGCCAGAATTTCTAATGCACAGATGTCAACTGCGATCAAAAGTGAGTTAGTTTGTCCTCAGTTTCCAGTCCTTTTTCTGACTCAGATCATTTATTCAAACACTTCTCTGATCAATTGAATTTGCTGTTAGAAACAAAAGTGAAACTTCCCCCACTCCCTTCAGCCAACTTAATCGCTTCTCTCCTGAATGGAACTATGCTACAGTACCTGGTGTTGCCTATAAGGCCATTGGCAATGCTGATCTCCTCTTATGGTCTTGCCACAGTCGCCACACATAGTGGCAACCTGAGTTTCAGCCCTCAGATCCGCACACAAACTCAGAAGATTCGACAGTTAACGGAAGCTGCATTTACCAGGGACATTCCTGTTGTAATCAGCTGATGAGAATCCTCCTTCGACACCAGAAAATGCAATACAATCTGTTTGCACTGAAATGATTATAATAATAATCATAATCCTTGCATTTGGGCGATTATCTCATTCGCAGATACTTATGGTAACTGCGCAACAATTCTAAAAATTTCTGATCGTTGAATAGAGTTGAGCATTGATTGTGGCAAAGTGAAAACTCAATGACCTTTCTGGAAATAGTTCTTAATGCACTCAAATATCTTGCTTGGTTCTAAAAGGACTTGCCCTGCTTCCCAGCCTAAGGAACACAAGTTATTCTGACTTTCTGATCGAACGTTAAGCCATTGAAGAAAGTCGTTTAGATGGCAGTGCGCTCCTGTGAAAATTTAAACGTTCTAACCATTGTACTTTCTCTGTCCACAGGGAAGTGACAGCGAATGTGAAGTCGACCAGAACAGACCGAAGACGCATTCTTTCGTCAATCACTACATAAGCGACCCCACGTATTACAACTCGTGGAGACGGCAGCAGAAGGGCATCTCGCGAGCCCAGGCCTACAGCTACACAGAGAGCGAGGCGGGCGACACCGAGCAGACCCATCAGTCTGTCGCTAACAACACCCAGTCCACCCAAGCCAACCAACAAGGCAGCCTCTTCCGACCTAAGAGTAGTCTTACACCCACCCCTCTACACCCTGCCAACAACACCAGTCAACCAGGCACCCTGTATCGACCTGCCAGCAGCCTTGCTCCAGGATCCAGGACCCCACTGGCAGGATTCTCTTCCTTTGTTTGAACAGCAGCAAACTTTACTTCTTCTTAATTTCGAAAGAGTCGTTGTGTAGAAGACAATCAGAGATCCTTTGAGCTGCTGCTTGCAGCCTTGCACAGATTTTTTTTCACAGAGAGGGGAGGGAGTGTGGTGGGGAGAGGGTGGCGGGGGGGGGGGGGGGAAATAGTACAGGATTCAAAAAAAAAGGGAAAAAAAAAGAACCATCAAAAGAGGATCTGACGTGCCAGCCATCCCTGCCACGGTCTGAGGAGAGAGAGAACTCCAGAAACAAGCTCAAGACGTGGATGGGGACAGATTCTTTGGCTACTTAGAATTAGCTGTGCTTTTCCAATGAGCTTGCATTCTGCTCGGTTGAGAAGTGTATGGATCTCCACAAGTTATATGTCTGCTCATGGTTGCGGAGGCAAAAACAAATCACAAGCTGATGGTAGCCAATTGGCCACAGAAGCCAGAAATTCTGGTGGCCACTGGTAATATCAATGTGCCCATTATATATAACCAACAGGTTTACTTTAGTTGCTATCCTGGCTATTTGCAACTACTCTTTTGTTGGCTAGTTTTCACTTTAAGCTTTTTACTGCTGCATGACCATTAGAGTTTGAGTCCTCAATGAATCCTCAATGTGCTTGCATAACTTACTGGTATCATTGCTACCTTAATGTTGATACGTTTTGACATTTCTTTTCGGTGAAAATGTTTTCTTTGGATGGACCTTTAGGATTTTCCCCCTTTTCAGAAGCCTTGAAAATGGTCTATCTTTTCTTTGTCTGTTAATCCGTGAATCCTCATTCACAAAGACAAAAAGAAACCTTTGCATGTATCTCACATGATGTCGGCGAATCACGTGTTCGTAAAGTCACAAACTTCGTGGTATAATTATTTTTTAATAGACTCTGGCAAACAAAAAAATGTGAGTAGATTATTCAAAAGTAAGACATCCTGCCTTGTCCTTGGAATTGAATAGGAAAAAAAACATCTGTGAGGTATCTCATCATCAGCAATGAATAGGTAAAGGTTGCCAAAGTTCAACTGGATGTGCTTCAAACTTGTGGCTGTTTCTGATGCCCGGAATCACCCTCTCGCACTCCACCCACCTCCCCCCTCCCCTCATCAAAAGATAAGCAGTCTAAGGCACTTGGGGCTGTATGGTTAAAGGAACGGATATCTATTTTATTTTTTTATTACCTGAACTTGATCATTGTCCACACTGTGAAGTTTACTTGCAAATAGTGGTTATCAAATGCCAAGGGTTTCATGAACTGCGCATTGGCCATGTGTGTGGATTACCTGAATTACTCATTGCTTCATCCTGTTCGTGCCATGTTTGACTAACATATTGCCACCGACCAACACACCGACTTCTCTGTTATTACGTTGAGTGAGAATTTAAGCAGGAGGGTTTAGGCACGAGTACTGTTCACCATTTCATGCCCAACCCTACGTTCTGTTTCTTCACTGTCTTCATTTTTCACTCTGAGATGGAGTGCAACTTGATTTCTTCCATTTCTTTCCTTCTCCCCTCTCCCGCATGCAGATATTGTTTTGCAAGTGACAAACAAACAGTAACATCACACAGGATGATTAACAAACCCAGAGGAATGTCATAGTAAAGTCAGGGGGGGGGAATGGTGTTCAAGCCACAAACCACCAAATAGCAACACTACATAGCTCATTCTTGCAGTGACATGTGCTGTGAGTATTCTGTTTTTCAGGGCAATTTTTAACCAGTCTGCTATTGAGAGTAAGTTAAAGTTCAAAGGAAAAATGCATTTTCACGCCTTAGACAAAAATGCATTTTCAGGCCTTTTTATAAAGTTTCAATTTATCACACATGTCATGACAAAACTTCAAAATGGGGCAGATGCATTTGGACCTTTGCAACATCCAGATAAATAGGCAATATCTGGTGTGATTACTTGGTTTGATTAATAGACAGTGATATTTATTTCACCAGATTAACGAGTTAGCTGATGTGTGCATTGTTATTCCCTGGCGAATCTCGACTAAAGTTGACTTGCAATGTGGGAGGGGATGTGCATTTTTCTTTCAATGCAAGGGAGAGTTACTCTGCACGTTGTAACTGAGGGCATCAGGACGGAGTACAGCACAGTACAGCAAAAGAATAAAGGATGTATTTTACAAAAGGCAAAAAAAAGAAGATTCTAATGCATTCGTCAAGGAGTCATTTCCTGTTGTATTTCTGAAAAACAGAGGTTTTTGTTTAGTCCTGTATACAGTACAAAACTAAACTGTAACTTAGAGACCATATCTGTGTGGTAAGTGAACCTGTATTAGAAGATGCATTTAGAAAGATCAGCCAAAGTTACTTCCAAATGTTTTACTATACGGTTAAATGTCCAGGGAGTTATTAGCAGGGAATAGCCCAGAAAACTCTTTTGGGGGAAGAACGTAGAATAACATCTTGAAAGTGGAGGCATTTAAGGGTTTGATTTGCGATATTTCTGTCAGGGATTCCTTGGTAACCAATCTGATTCGTGCGAAGAGCGCTCCTTCCGGTGACAGGAAGCGCATCACGCCGACTCTTTTCTGACGTAATCTACTTCAAAGCACGGTTCATGCGGGTCAGCTTGAACTCCACGTTAAGGAACCCTGTTGAGATATAACGCGCCACAAGTCAGCCCTCGTTAATGTACGAAACAGCAATTGGAAACGAAACAATATGGTTTCTGCGGCTCCGACAAGTTGCAATACATCAGCTTGTAGCGATATTATGACAGCTTTCCTGCACCAAAGCGTATATAACTCTGAAACGGAGACATGTTATGGTCAGCTGGGTAGTCTTGGCAGTTCCAGCCGTTGGCAATGCAAAGTGGCAGGATTAGGTAGATACTGGTGAGCATCGTTGAGGATTTTTTTTTAACGCAATGATTTTGACAGTTCCGATGAAGAGATAATCACGATCAGAAGCTTTCAGTCATGACTAGTTTTCAGGCGTGTTTTTTTTTTACATTTAAAAAAATCAGCTGAAGTAAAAAAAATTTTGTACATTTCCAAACCCCCGAGTGTAAGTAATAGAGTATAATTGGAGAAATTCACAGAGGCAAAACGGTAACTTCACTAAATTTCTGGAACACATAAAGGAAAATGTACCCTTGTTTGTTTTCTTTAAAAAAATTGATGCAAAAATGTTTCTACCGTCTTCAAAGGGATACAATTCGACGGTTTTCTGGGAATTGTAATATTTGTGTATAAAGCCACTGCTTCGTTTATGGGCTTTCAATTCCAAACCTATTCATCTGTCAGAATTGAAGTGATAATGAGAGTGAAACAATATGGTTTCTGTGGCTCTGACAAGCTGCAATACATCAGCTTGTAGTGATATTATGACAGTTTTCCTGCACCAAAGTATATAACTCTGAAACAGAGACATGTTCGCAAAACTGGGGAAACTGCAAATGAGAAATGAACATCTATATTTTCCTTACGTTTCTTTAGTTTGAAGTGTATATTTAGCATGAGAAATAAGCAAAGACGTGCGAAAACGAGATATGATACCAGGCAAAGAGAATGCGAAGGGTCACACTTGGTTTAAACTGTGCATTTTGCAGTGATTCCCCGAGGAAAATAGAGGATAAAATGCTCAGCCACAACCTTATGTGCAGGCCGGGACACAGGGTTTATTTAAGAATCAGCTTTGTGTTGCAATGAGATGACAGTGAGGTTATTACATTGGAAGAATGAGATCAAATCGAATGGGATTAAGGGATTCTTCATTGGAATCTCTTGTGATCTCTTGTCATATCACAAATGTGTACATTCCAGCATTTGCACTCGAGCTACTTCATACATAGAGGTTGCAAGGAAATGCTATTAACAACTTTCAGCCATGTACAACCCAAAAGGGAAGCACAAGGCAACCACTGAGAGTTAAGTCAACTTGTTTAACCGCTACCTTCTGATTTGATAGGCTTGGAAAGGTGATGGAACACAAACCTGCTGCACCCAGTTCTGTCCCTGCACTTCTCCTGTGTTCACAAACGTGAAAAATAAAATTGGGAGAAAAATAATATTCTTGAATCTTTTGGTAGCCAACAAACCGATACTGGTAAGAGGCTATGTATGAAGTGTTTGTCAGTGCAGATGCAATAATTAAAAATAATATATAAAATACATTCTAAAAGTGACCTTAAGGGAGACAGAAGGAAACAAATCACCAAAGTGTTGCCTTTTACCATACAGCATCAACCTTACACTCATTGCAGAGAAAATAGATGTAAATTTTCCAACTATTTTGGCTAATTCACTTTGCCTACAAGAGTTTCAAAGCTTCTGTGAAATTGCCACCAGGCTCACAGTTAGTGTTAACGGCAAAGTTTTGCATTTGTAATTGGTCAGTTAGGAACATGGGTCCAGATGAAGATAGAATCTGGGAAGGAATCTGAGGAACTTGCCAAGTGTAAAAATGCATCAAACAAAAAGCATAAAACAATTCCTTAAGAAAGGATGTCTAAGGTTTGATCAATTTGTTAAATGCTATTTTCTCACCTCTGAAGTCAGCGTCTTGGTACGTCCTCCCAACATGAAAGAACCAAACACAAGTGTAATGTTGTTGTTGTTGTTAAAGCCTAGTTGGAAGACTAACTCCAGCGACATTGATAGTGTGGTCACACTGAGAAATTTTAGAATTTATTGCATAGAACACTGCATACAGGCTTGAAGACTTTTTTTTAACACTGTTCGGGTTGGGTTTTAATCCATCCCAGGTGATTTTTTGGGGGGTTTTCCTTTGATTGTTCCAGTTGGTTTAATTATGCCAATATGGAATCTCATAAGCTGAAGGTTAGCAATGAAGGCTAGGTCGAAGAGGAGGATTTTGAGACGTGCCTTGAAGGAGGCAAGGGAGGGAGCGAGGGGAAGGGATTGTGTGATGGAGTTCCATAGGGTTAGTATTGTGAGATTTCAGGAAGTGTTGAACAACATCTGAATCAGCGTGTACACCCATCAGTGAAGCTTGGAGGGGAGTCAGTTGTTGGAGCTACCGGTTTGATATCTGTAATGTTGGATAGCTTTAGAAATGGGTCGTGGGAAAAGTAATTTTTTTAATGGAAAAATATGAATATGATGGCAAATGCAAGGATGGCACT